AAACCCAAAACAGGTGTGTGTTTTTTAAGGGCAGGACAGCTGTCAGCAACACATCCAATATCATCACACAGATTGAAGTCAAGGTTGGCTCACTCCTGGCTCCAATTAGCTCTGGGAGAAGTCATTAAGCTAGGGCCTCACATACTTTTTCCTCCCTGCACTGTGAATGTTTACATGTTATGTGCAATTAAAGCATGGCAACATCTAATGTTTGTGTAGTATTATGTTCAGTAGACTGTGTTCTTCTATTGCTGTGACTTAGATGATGTTCAGAGCACATTTTATGCCCAATTCATGCAAAACTCCACGTAATCCGAAGGGGTTCACATACTTTTTCTTGCAACTGTATGAACAAAATAAATAATTACACAAACATTATTGATGATATACTGGAGAGGAACTCTAAGGACATGGGGTTGCTAAATACTGAGACCAGAGCTATTAGAAAACAGCTGGAGATGCAAGAATTAGCTATTGAAAGTATGAGTGCTGCTCTGACAGGTTGTGTGAGATGACAGAGGATTATGAATGTTGTACTTGGATATATAATACCACAATGACTGTTCCAGATTATTATGAAATAATAAAGCAACACAGGGAACAGGTAGATGGTTTGATGGAAGAAGCTAGAGCTATAGGAAAAGATGGATGGACTCCTTTTGATTGGTTAGGATCAGGATTTGGTTCCTTCTTTTCATGGATGAAAGGTATCGCTGTAAGCATAGTCATGATATTGTTTTTTGTTTTATCTTTATATCTATGTTTTAAATGCTCATTATATTGCATTGCTAGAGCTACCAAGCCGCAAAATACAAATGAAGGTTATCTGGCTATGTACAAAAAGATGAATGAAGTAAAGAATTGAGATCATGTTCATGATCTTAGAGGGGATTGAAAGGATCTAGATAACTTCCATTTTGTATTATGTACGCCATTTTAAGTATTAAGTATTAAGTTAGCTTTTTGTAGAGATATTAGAAGTTTAATGAAACTGTTTTTGGTTGTTCAAGGATGTATCAACAGAAGCTAACACGACCCTGACAATGTCTTTGTCTGTCTGTTTTCCCTAAAAGTTAGCCAAAACAATTTGTACCAAGAAATGTATATGTTATGTTTCATGTAGTTAGCTCATGATGGAAAGTTACAAGTTACAGTTTTGAAACTCGCTCCCCCCTCCCTTATTATTATCTGTAGTCTATATAATCTTATTAATGTCTAATAAACTTTGAACATCTCTGAACATAAGCTGTCGTGATTTCCGTGTTCAAGGGGTGTTCCCAGAATTCTGCTGATAAACCAGGAATCTCTCCACAGATCGGGGGTCTCTGAGGGGAAAAGAAAATCATTCCTTTCACTTACGAGACCCTGGGCAGGTCTGGGTCCAATTTGTGGTAGAGACTGGTTTTGTTCAGCCATGCTTGAGCGAGTAATAACAGGTCTGTGCTGCCCTTTGGTGTCTGGCTTAATGAGCACAACACTGAACGTCCCAGCGTTTGTCAACGATTTGCCGTTAAGTGATGCAAACCCGCTGAACCACGTTCATGAGGAGCCGGTACAGGGGGCCATGAATCAGTATGGACCTGGCAGCAGCGTGAGCAGACGACAGAGGCACATGGTGGCGGTGGAGGCAGCAGTATTCGGAAGCCATACGCAGGCCTAGGTTAAAAAGCGGAAGCCGTCAGCAGCGTGAGCAGACGACAGAGGCACATGGCGCAGGGTGGCGGTGGATGCAGCAGTATTCGGAAGCCAAACACAGGCCTCGGTTAAAAAGCGGAAGCCGTCAGCAGCGTGAGCAGACGACAGAGGCACATGGCGCAGGGTGGCGGTGGAGGCAGCAGCAATGGAAGGCCATACAGCACCCTATCACAAAATGGAACCCACCAACAGTGTAAGGAGACCTGAAAGTGGCACATGGCAGAGTCTGGCGATGAAGTCAGCAGCAATGGGAGGCCGTACAGGGACCCATGACACACTCTGGACCTGGCAGCAGCAAGAGGAGGCGGTACAGGGGCCCATGGCAGAGTGGCGAAGCGTAAGCAGCTTAAATTGAAGGCCATACAGAGGCCTATGTTAAAAAGTCCCCACAGCAGCAGCGTGGGGAGACGACAAATAGCCTCCTCATGCTGCTGCCAGGTCCAGAGTGTGTCATGGGTCCCTGTACGGCCTCCCATTGCTGCTGTCTCCATCGCCACACTCTGCCATGTGCCACTTTCAGGTCTCCTCACACTGCTGGTGGGTTCCATTTTGTCATAGGGTGCTGGCAGATTACGGGCCTCCCATTGCTTCTGCCAGGCCCGTAATCTGCCATGGGCCCCCGTACCGACTCCTCATGCTGCTGCCAGGCCCGTAATCTGTCATGGGCCCCTGTACCGCCTCCTCATGCTATTGCCAGGTCCAGAGTGTGTCATGGGTCCCTGTACGGCCTCCCATTGCTGCTGTCTCCATCGCCACACTCTGCCATGTGCCACTTTCAGGTCTCCTCACACTGCTGGTGGGTTCCCTTTTGTCATAGGGTGCTGGCAGATTACGGGCCTCCCATTGCTGCTGCCAGGCCCCTAATCTGCCATGGGCCCCCGTACCGACTCCTCATGCTGCTGCCAGGCCCGTAATCTGTCATGGGCCCCTGTATCGCCTCCTCATGCTGCTGCCAGGTCCAGAGTGTGTCATGGGTCCCTGTACGGCCTCCCATTGCTGCTGTCTCCATTGCCACACTCTGCCATGTGCCACTTTCAGGTCTCCTCACACTGCTGGTGGGTTCCACTTTGTCATAGGGTGCTGGCAGATTACGGGCCTCCCATTGCTGCTGCCAGTCCCGTAATCTGCCATGGGCCCCCGTACCGCCTCCTCATGCTGCTGCCAGGCCCGTAATCTGTCATGGGCCCCTGTACCGCCTCCTCATGCTGCTGCCAGGTCCAGAGTGTGTCATGGGTCCCTGTACGGCCTCCCATTGCTGCTGTCTCCATCGCCACACTCTGCCATGTGCCACTTTCAGGTCTCCTCACACTGCTGGTGGGTTCCATTTTGTCATAGGGTGCTGGCAGATTACGGGCCTCCCATTGCTGCTGCCAGGCCCGTAATCTGCCATGGGCCCCCGTACCGCCTCCTCATGCTGCTGCCAGGCCCGTAATCTGTCATGGGCCCCTGTACCGCCTCCTCATGCTGCTGCCAGGTCCAGCCTCCCATTGCTGCTGTCTCCATCGCCACACTCTGCCATGTGCCACTTTCAGGTCTCCTCACACTCTGGTTTTGGCCCCGTGACTGCCCAAATGAGTGAAGTGTGCGGTGATTCTAAGATCGACGGCACTCATCTGCATGTCATACTGACTGACAGTATTATTTCTCTTCCCCAGCAGACTCCAAGGGCATTTAAATTAAAGGTACAGTGTTCTGCACTAATATAAAGGCTCTCTGAAGCCTAGAAACACCCTTTTTATAAGTTAAATTCGCAGCGAATATATTCGACTCGAATCGAATTTATTCCTCGAATTCGCCGAATCAGCCGAATCGAATTTTTGAATAATTCGCTCATCTCTAATGTTCATATTTAGATTATTATTATTATTAGGGCTTTTTTCAGTGGGAATGGGGGGAATGCAGTTCTGGCACCTCCAGCTCTGAATTACCGGTATGTATGGAAGGGACAAGCATGAAGAGTTTTTCCCAAAAGATAATAGAACGAGCGATTTTCTTGTAATTAGTATAGTATTTGTTTGAAAAAAATAGAGTGACCAAGACTGCATGCTCAGAAATTAAAGAATACCTTACAATACAATACATGACATCACTTCCGAAGTTGTATTCTGTCTTACGAGAGTTTTTGTAATTAGTAACCTCTTTATTTTCAATACTAGAATGCAAAAAAAAAAAAAAGGATGATCATTCGAATACACTATCTGTAATGCATATATTATAACATTTAGAAAATATTGAATAGTAGAAAAATAAAACAAAACAAAACAAAAAAAAAAAAGATACTCTCGGTTGCTGCTAATCACTGCTGTACATTCCCACACTAAATAAATATTAGAGGTCCAAACAACAACAGACATTTTACTCTTTATTGGAAAGCAATTGATTCACAGTTGATTTACATTACATTGCCAGTCATCCCAATGGTGGCGGTACATCTCTTAAGTTGCAAACAGACAGAGGACAGCAGAGCAGAGAGCCAGGTCAAGGAGGAGCCCATACTTTTTAGGGTTTTGCCAGAGTCTTACGTCCCAAGCCAAAGGAATATGAGTAGCCCAATGCGTCTTGCACCTCTCTTTCCTTGCTTTTCCCACAATGGAAGCTTCACAGAAGTTGGAGCCTCAAAGATTACATGTTTCCATGCCTTGGTCATTGCACTGTTTCCTATGACCAACCAACCACAGGTGGACACCTGCCAGACTATTTCTATAGTGCTTTTTTACCTAAGATGCCCCACAATGGCAAGGACAAGGCTTACACTTCCAACTATCTATAGTACACCCAACTCACTACTCTGGAGTCCTCCAGCAGCTACCTAGGCACTTATACTGCCTTCTCTTCACTGCAGGGTTCCCAATCCTAACTATGGTGACATTTAGTGGCCAATTTTGGGAAACTACACTGGGTACTTCTGTCCCACAGAACCATTTCTTTTAACAAATATAACTAAATATTAACAAATTGTGAAGAGACGTTCACCAACCCATATTCCCTTTCGATGCTAAAATCATGTATGGTCCTATTTAGTAAGTTCAATAACTGATTAGTCTTTGCTAGTGCTGCAGTGCTGCTGTAGACAGGTACAACTTATGTAAGAGGATTTATTTGATCTGTGTATCATCTGAGGCCAGTCACGTCACTGGGGTATATATAAGGGTTTACAACCACTTTAATGCTTGGTAATTGGAGGTGCGCAAGAGAATAAAGAGAAGGTAGCCTCTAAGAGTTTCATTTTTGGAAGATGATAAAAAGAGCCTTTGAAGAATACAAGAGGTGCATGGATTTTAAAGAATCAGCTTATTTACACTGATTTAAAACTCACAAACAAAAAAACGTTTTTGGTCACAATTCTCATCATTCCACTTTCCATCATCCCACATTTCCACGCAATGCTCTTTGCCAGCAACATTGTTGGGTTCACCAGGGCGCCAGTTGAAGTATTTGATGGCTTCTCCAGACAGGTCTCTAAAATCACCCTTTTTCTGTATGTCATTTATACCCATGAATGTGTGCTTATTGACCTGCTTGCGGAGAGACAAGATGGCTTGGTTTTCTTCATGGTTCCGGGGTACGGCCAACTGACCTCCACCATCGACACAGCTGGTTCTGGCTTCAGAATAAATGGCTTCAACACCATTTATAAATATAGAATTTGTTACCACTTCTAGAGATGTCTTTTGTAAATGAAAGAGCTGTAACAGTGGGAAGAAAAGGACAAAAAGATATTTCCATCACAAGACTTCATGGAATACATAGCAGAAAGTAAGATCTGCCACTTTTTATTAAGTTAAAGGGATCCTGTAGGTGGACAACTGTGGCAGCCATTGATGATCTTTTTAAAAAACTGTCATTTAGAGGGCTTAGCTACTTAAAATCCAGATGTCTAAACTGTAGCCTCAGCAGAAGCTCGTGTTCATCTAAAGATGTACTCCAGGACATCTAAAAATCCTCCTTTGCTGACCAATGAAACATTTGCTTCCACATTGGGGCTGTATTTTGTTTGCTTACAATATTCTTGATTGATACTTACTACGTGCTTATATACTTATGAACCTGTTTATGTGCCTCTGCTCACCCTGTAGGTGGGCTAAGTCTTTATGTTCTTGTTTTTGTATATTTCTTTTTTCATTAAAAATATCGAAATATAAAAATCCTCCCTTGCAGTGGGGTGCACTCGTGCAGAAGGGTTAAATGCATGTTTGTGACTAGTAGACTTGATAAAGCATTTTTACTAACCTGATTCTTCACTCTTGCAGGCTCCTGCACTACTAGAGCAGTCCCTGCAGCCTCTTCTTTCCTATGATTCTGTGGTCTAAGGCCTTTTGACTTCAACAAGACTAATGCAGGGACAAAACCTCTGCAGTGGACATGAGGACACTAAGAAACAGTCCACTCCCAGACCATGGGGGAGTGAAGGATTGGGTAAGTAAAAATGCTTGCCTGCTTATCACTGCATATGAATGTTTTTAGGTTTCCTGGAGTTGGGCTGTAGGGTTGTTGCACTCATTTTGAGCATTTACTGTATAATATTGGCTCAGTAGACTGCTCCTGACTATGAGCTGTGGACTGCTTCAGCAGCATAGGTTGGACTTCCAATCCTTTTAGCTCTCCTTCTCCCAATGAAGAGTCCAAAGCAACCATTTCTTCTACTTACCTACCCATTGGCCCAAAACACGAGATATACATTTACCCAAGTGATAGCAACCCCCGTATAAAGCATCCAGCTAACCTTTTCCCTGATTCTCAAGGTCTGATTGTAGATCTCTTATCCGTCTATCCATACCAGCCATTTGCAATTTAAGAGTTTTGATTGCTAAGGAAAGAGTTGACATAATTAAGGTGAGTGTATCACAAGTGTCACATGCTAAATATTTTTTTTTTCTTTATTCAATATGCACAGGACTAAAAATTTAAATATATTTCTGCTTCTTTTTGTCTTTTTCGTCAGGAGACATTGGAAATTGAAAGGAAACCTTTCATTCCAGTGTTTGGAGTTGGCACCATGAGAAAATAACATGCCTCTAATTGACCAATGGCTAAAACAAAGGAGATTTTCCACCATATTACCCAAAGCAGAAACCTTCTATAGACAAGTCTGGTCTACCGAACACTGACTAAGTTCAACTATTCCATTTGACTTTAGTGGTTCCCAAGATTAACCACTGTATGGACTGCATGTGTTCCTGGGGTGTTACCAGCAGTGGAAGTATAAATCCACCTTCCAGTTTAGTTTATTTATCCCTGAACACAGTTATAGATACTAATCGATAGTTGCTTTGGTCGGTTAATGGTCCACCAAAATTAGAAGAAAGGTCCTTGTACCCAAGATCTGCCATGCTTGTGAATATATGACCCCCAGAGGGGCACTCATGATCTCCTCAGCAGTAGACAGGGAGGCCACAGTAACTCAGAAAGAATGATAGCAACTGCTGGAGAGAAAAAGGAGATGTTGCTGGTCCAAAGTCCCACCCAAAAAGAGGAACATGCAGGGTGCAAAGTTGCAATAATCCGATTGAAAGAGAGGCAATTCAAGTACAGTGTGCGCTCGGGACATGCAGTAAGCGCTTAGTTTGTGAAGGCACACTAGGCACCATAGGGGGAAGGCATCAACAACTCCAATCACTGGAAGGCACTTGTTAGAGCCTGGTTCTGAACCTGGACCTTCTGCGATAAGTGGCAATGTTTCTTCTTGCTGAGCCACCTGGAATGCTGGACAGCTCCCTTGACAATATATGGATGATCCTACCTTGACCTTGTTTGTCATGAACCTTGAACCCCTTGCTCCTCCCATGAACTTCCTGATATAAGCCATGTCTCTGCACTTCCTGTTTGCCAGATTATTGTGCTCTCCAGCCAGTATCTTGCGCCTTGTCTTCTGTTATTAGCCATATTTTGCTACCACTCATACTCATTATTGACCCTTGGCTTGTTCTCGACTACGCTTCTGCCTGATCCCAACCTGCGACTGCTCATTACTGACCTTGGCTTGTTTACTGACCATGCTTCCGTTTGATCCTTACCTGCTTATACGCTACTGGACCTCCGCTTGCTCACCTCCTGATAGAGTGATTCTGAGGACCGCGACCTGGTGCTAACATGCAGCAAAATCCATCTCCACCATCAGGAGCTCTGGTGAACACCAGTTGGTACCTAAACTTGCCTGTGTACCTATCCTGCTGGTTTCAGGTGAGCCTTTCCACTGCTATAGCAACTGGTCTTTGAGCCTGACCCCTGATCGTAACCACTACTCAGACCACTTTTTACAGGTGTGTAGACGTGCTTCAATGCACATATAAAAAAGCATACCAGATAGATGTGAACCTGGCCTAACAGTTTAACTTTAGTACTGAATTAATTTAATGACATATGTAATTATGTAAGCAAGAAATTACATGGCAGGTTACCTGGAGCCGCACTGTCTCCCATTTCCCCTTTTGGTCCTGGTGGTCCTGTCAGTTACAGAACATATTTAACGAAAGTTAATTAAACAAAACCCATAAAGTTAAAACTTTATATAAAATGCACAGAAGAAGGTCAAAATAAATTGTAGCCTATGAATATCTGTTGGTCACAGAACTTTAATTTAAACAAAGGCATCTATGACCGTCTGTCTGTTTACTGTCCACTCATGGATGTGTGAGGGTGTCTAGGCACTCCTGTACATACAGCCCAATAACTGTATATCTGCAGTGTGAGATCCAGGGCCTTTTTTCAGCAGGAACGCAGGGGAGCGCAGATTTGGCACCTCCAACACTGAATGTATATAATCGCAAGGGGTGCTGGAGGGTCTATTGATGTTGTCTGCTGGGGAATCTATTGTTGCTGGAGAGGATCTATTTTTGCAAGGGGGTCTATTGTTGCTGGGGATGTCTATTGCTGCTAGTGGAACTATTGTTGTTGGTGGTGGGTCTTATGTTGCTGGAGGTCAGTCATTGCTGGGAGGGATCAGGTCACAGGTCAGATGCAATACTTTGGCAAATCACAGCATGTATAAAAAGAACGATAAAAACAAGCGCTAGATGTCAATAGGAAGAAAAGGCTAGCTGCTGGCATGAGAAGTGAACCTCTACAACTTCAAAACTAAGAACAATCAATAAAATGCAGCGCTAATTGCCAGAATAAAATTCCAAATATGAGACATAAATATGAATTAAGAACAAAAAATATATAAAGTTCATGCAGGATAAATGTGACTTCTGTGATGCTTCAAAAGATGATACAGCAGAATAATCGTGACTCTTGTGGTAGTGAGACTGGGTGTAGATTGCACTAACCGGATGCATAAGGAGAATATGCATGGAGTATTTAAGACCTACTCCTGGTGCTCTGGATGTGAGACACTGGAAGGGTAGTCGTCATCTTAAATCTCGCCACTAGATGTCATGTATCCCAAATCAATGGAAAGGCTCAATGGATATCAGCATCAGCCACCAGGGGGATCATCCCAATCATCAAACAGCAATGAGCAGGAAACAATGAGAACCTTCAAAAGGCCGGGGCTCCGATAATAAAAAGAGCCCCAGACCAGAAGCTGAGCCTTTGTAGCTGCAAACACTGTGGCTCAATTCAACCTAAAACTTCTAGAGAAGCACAGAAATCAGTTCAAGTCCAGTCTCAGCATTCTGCTCCCCCACTCAGTGTACCTGCTCTGTGTTACATTAGAGATTAAAAGGCTGGCAGATGAGCTGGAAAAAGGGAGCATGAGCAGCTGAGCTGCTAATTCACTAATGGACGGGGGAAACAGGAGGAGCTGAAATGCTTAGTCACTGCCAGGAGGAGGAGGAGGAGGAGGAGCGAGATGATCCCCTTGGTGGCTGATGCTGATATCCATTGATTTGGGATACATGACATCTAGTGCCACAAGAGTGACGATTATTCTGCTGTATCATCTTTTGACGCATCACAGAAGTCACATTTATCCTGCATGAACTTTATATATTTTTTGTTCTTAATTCATATTTATGTCTCATATTTGGAATTTAAATCACAGCATGTGATGACGTCACAAGGGGGCAGGGTGAACCCTGCCCCCTTGTGATGTCATGACATTATTTAAGAACTGTCATCGAGGGCGCAGCTGTCAGATGGTGAGAGCCAGCGTCGTGAGTGGAGCGCTTTTTTTCTTTTTTTAGGGCATTGTGATTGACATTGGATCTACTCTGAGGGACATTTTTTTATTATTTTTAATAAAGGACTTGTCAAAGACTGTTTACTGTCTTTTTTTTTTTACACTTACACTTTTTTTTGTGAATGGGTAGCAGTACCACATACTCATTCACATGGCAGAGGGGCGGGATCTTGGGGACCCCCCTTTTAAAAGGGGCTTTAAAATTCCGATAAGCCCTCCACCCGCAGGCTCCCACAATCACATGCCACGGTTGTGAGGAAGAGGCCCTTGTCCCCATCAACATGGGGAGAAGGTGCTTTGGGTGGGAGCCTCCCCTGCCCCAAAGCACCCCCCATGTTGAGAGTATGTAGCCCGGTATGGTTGAGGAAGGGGGGGCACTCGCTCGTCCCCCCTTTTCCTGACCTGCCAGGCTGCATGTTCGGATAAGGGTCTGGTATGGATATTTTCTTAAATTTTGGACTGGGGGTTCCCCTCAAAATCCATACCAGACCCAAAGGGCTTGGTATGAATGGGAGGACGGACCTCAGGCCATTTTGTTTCTAATTGTCAGGCAATGTGGACATTTTTTTT